TATACCGGTATACGGCTGGCTCAAATGCGCTTGGTTGCTACGGCGTGTCAGCTTGTATAGTGGGCTATGGGTGGCAGTTTACGCCGCGGTTTTTCTTTCGTTTTTATTTGAAGAAATAGTGTGTGATGATTTTTTTTCGAAAGAAATAGAGTCAGTCCGTAGAGTACACAGAATAGCACTCAGAGTGGTACGTCCGGGATGATTTTAAATATTTGTGTTAAAGGTTAGTATTGAATGCTTGCCCGTTGGTGTATGCTTCTCACATTGTAATACCGTTCAACATTTTTTTTTTCATTTTATATCTTTTATTTCATTTTCAATATATTTTGTATTGTTTTGTAAATTGTTGTGGTTTAATCTTGCATGTCAAGGCCAAACACAGAGGGCAAATACTCGAGTAGTACCGGCAAATAAATAATAAATTAAAGCGGGGGATTCGTCACTTGCGCATGCTTCAGATGACCATAGCATGTCATTGTTTACAAACAAGCGTTTACCCACGAGCCTTTGCGTTTTAGCATGTGTTGTTATCGTCGTTTGGGACTCAATTCCCAATTCCCGGCAAGTGACGATCCCCCCGCTTTAAAATGAAATAAAAGAAAATTTAAATACTTATTTTTAAACGATTTTTTGAAAAAAATCTTTTTTAAGTAACTCATAACTATTACTTTTTCTATGAATTCGAGAGAGAGTATGTGTGGGGGCGTAACCAGTGTTATTAGTGCGATGGTTATTATTCTTATTACAAGACACTTGTGTTTTTCATAACCTGTTTTTTTTTTACCAGCACCACCTTGAATTTCTGATCGGACGAAAAACCATGAGAACGGAAGATGAATCACCCGGATGAACCAGTGCTACGAGTGGGATGAGTTGGAGGGAATATTATTATAAGTACAAGGCATGTTTTTGTTTTGTTTTTCTTGTTACTATAACATAATACACAATGAACTTTTTCATTTTTGTGTGCGTGAAACTGTATAATCAATCCTAAAAAATCCCCCCCCCAGGATTCATTAACTATAACATTAAATTAATTAAATTAAATTAAATTAAATTAAATTAAATTAAATTAAATTAAATTAAATTAAATTAAATTAAATTAAATTAAATTAAATTAAATTAAATTGACCGATGTCAATTTAAAAAGTATTAAATATCTATTCCCTACTTCTCAAATTAATTTGATGGACATGTGAACAAATTAACTTCGCTTCAAAAGTCATGACACTCGAGAACGAGTGAATATTCGTGAGGTATACTAGCGCCGCCTGTGGTGAATAGAAGAGAGGAGGCGCTTATTTTCAAGTTAGATGAGACCGGAAATACGGAAATGATTATCGCTAGTATTGTTTAAGCCAGTTTTCAATGGTTTAGTGGGTTAACATTCGTGAAAGGTAAGGAAGGGCTATTTTCAGTCTTTCACGTCTGTCCATTATAACATTTCTTGGATGTGCAACTTTTCTGTTCGGATTCTAGTCTCAGTCGTGTCTGGTTCGTTGACGCACGGTTACGGGTCAACCTCTAAAGGTCCAACCCATGCTAAATTCCACTGTTTACATGTATCATGTACATCTGTCTCTTCGTAATGTGTCGATGAGTTTATTTCCGTTAACAACTGATTTCAGATGGCCGGCCTTTTGTTACTTGCTGATTCGTCGAAGATTACGGTAAACTTGGTAAACGCAGACACAAAAGAGGGCTTTGTCAACTGCGACAAATACACTCGTTTGCATATCAGTGTGAAGTATTGTTCGTTTCCTATTGTTGAGTGGAAAACGTGTATTGTGCTCAACAACAGTTCGGAGTCAGTGCGTCTGGAGCGTTGAGGAACGGCAATCGGAGTCGAGATTTTGAGACCGGTGTTACTGGAGTCCATTCCTCAGTGGCCTGGGTTAGTATTTGCTTCACCGTAGCTAGGGAACGTGTTTACTCGATATGCAGGAATCGGGCAGTCACCATGCCTCTACTAATATAGATAACTTCACCGGTTAGTCCGCCTACTACAAACATCACAATCATCCCTCGTGTATTGTGTTTAAGGTGACAAATAAGAGATCACAGTGCTCGTCAACTCAGTAAGTACTCAGTGTTCGCGTTTGTATTATGGCTTCGGGAAACGATCTCTCGTCTGGACTTTCAAGCAGAACACCCAGGGAAGATTTGTTCGCCGGTATAAACAACAGGTACGACGTCGGACGATTAGATCTCAGCTTTCAAACTCCTCGTTCGAGCTACGTCGATACCGGCAGTTATTACAAACCTGCTTCGAGAGACGGTAACGGGACGCCTCGTCCACCGAGTAGAGGCACATATCCGGAGCCAGCACAGATATTGCGGATTTCCCACGAAATACCTGGGGAGACGTTGTTTACCGAGTCAGACGGGTTCGAGCTCATGAGTTCATGTCAACTAAGAGACCAACTAAAGGTATTTTTTCTATAGTTGTTTCAGTTTCTTTTTTCTTATTTTCATGGTTTCATGATGATGAAATGTGTCTTGTCTATATCTAACTAACACCTGTGTGATCAAATAATCCAAATATTGATTTAAAAACTCCCCGCCAAAAACTAAATTATTAGACCCATTACAAAGGCCCAAAGACATGTGAAAGCAAATGGCCTTATATTCAATGCCAATGATCTATGTGTATTGATTTTGGATATTGAAGGGTGAATCCTTACAGATTTGGTGTACAATGAATTGATCTTTATCTATAGAACATAATATTATTGTTCTGTGAACCAATACGCCCACACCTTCATGCCCCCCTCCCCATCACATCCAATTTGAAGCACACTTAGCATTATACTGAGCTAAATCTTTGGCATTTCGTTTTTTAAGAAAATACATACTGTTGTATGCACATTTAGCTTGTTGCCTAAATATGTAGCCGTCTAAATGTGCAAAATAACGATAAACATAGTTCGCTGATGCTGGTCGTTGCCTTAATCACGAGAGAATGGAATTACTAAGTTGTGTTTATTGCCTCTGCATTTCAAAAAAAAATCAAATATTAAGACTAAGGTGTTATCCCCCAATCCAAGTCATGGTATGTACAGCTTCATTTATGCTGAAGGTGACCACATAATAACCAGTAGAATTTCAGTCTAAGAGGCATGCTTTCTTCCACTGTGTTAATGGGTGACATTCAATTCTTAATTGTCTTTTTATTAAGGCTTTGTAATTATAATTATATTAAAGTTAGGATAATGTTTATTTGATTTAATGTGAAGTGGTTTTTGAATGGTAAATGACATCTGTAAAAATGGGCAGTGTTAGGTCTTCGTATATTTAACATATGTATATATGCAGGTGCAAGGAATTTATTTGCTTTCACATGAAATAAACTGATATATTTTTTTCTTGTAGTATTCAAAGCGACTCTTACATGAACACTGTTTATCATACATGTTATACGAGTTGCATGGTACTCACACCGAACATGCTGCGGCATGGTGACTAACATGTTAATGTCAAGCCATTTTTACTAATAATTAAGGATAATTGAGGGAAAAAAAGTACTTTTCACTTATTTACTACACTTGTAAAAAAAAAGTACTGGTCAATACATGCATGGTATGTACAGTCCATTATTATTGAGTGTAAAATTTATTTTTGCTAAAACTAATCATTTTCACAACAAAATTCACAACAATTGGTATTATGTACTGGTACTAGCAAGATTTACCGTTCTTCCAGTTTTACAGCATTCCCCATAACCTTATTTTTATAAAATTTTCTCTGTGAGGTACAGATGTTTCTCGGTGAATTTCATGCATAAGGTAAATTAACTTGTAAACTTGCCAGGATAGTATGTTGCCAATTATTAATATATAGTTAAGGCTAGTGAGTTACTTTTCAGTTGTCCGAATGACAATTTCACGTGTCCAGGGCTATATGACTACCCTTAGTGTCAAGGCTTGATGTATTCAAGTGTACATGATTCAAGATTTGGGGATGGCAACACAATTTATCAGTGCCGAATTTACTTGTAGTGGGGTGGGTAGGGGGGCTCCGTTGTTCTTTATAAACACAATAATAATTCTAATATTACAAATCTTATTAATTATTCATTAGCTTAACATCTACTGCTTAGAAGTCTTTGTCACAAATATGGTTGCACGTCGAAACTTGATTATTTTTTATGAGCAGCTGTTCATCACTAAGTATCTAAACAAACTCAGAAAATAGAAACTTGCATAACTATTAAGATCAGAGAAGGATTGTAGGGTACATTACATTTTGTAATTAATCTAGCTCACTTTCCAGTTTTTACAATAAATATAGTAGTTTGCAGCTTAGGTTAGTGACTGTGATTACACCTCGATAAAAACTGATGATAGTTTCCATAGCAACCACTCTATACTATGCAACCATTTATTTGGGTCGAGTGTAATTCAATTTCTGAAAGCTGTTTGTTAAACTGTGCAATACTACTCAGAGACTAATGTGTCTTTCACAACACTTGGCTTTTAACTAATCTAGGTTATAAGAAATTTAATTGACAAGTTTGTATTGTAATATACATTGATTTGTCATCATTTTCCAATAAAAGAAACTTGTAGGAATATAAATAATAAAATAAATGAAATATAAGTAAAATATTGCTTCTATTAAAGTTCTGTATTTTTATAGAGAAATGTATTTTGAAAAATGACACAGAAGAGAGAATCTGTAAAAACTGTATGTGGTTAAACAAAAGTTATATATAATTACCTAAAAGTTGTTTTTAAAACAAACTCTTTTCCATGGATTTTATTTTATTACAGAGATTAAATTTTGGTCAACATTTCGCGTATTTTATTTTATGTTTTGTTTTTTTTTGTTTTGAACCAAATAGGCATAATTGGTCTTGATCATAATTTTTGAGAGAATATAAAAAAAAATGTTGTGACACATTTTATACTTGTCGCCACGTACTGTCTTTCAAGGCGTATATATGACAGCAACGCTTGGTTGTTTCTCATTTCTTCTCTTTTAAATTTTATTAAAATTTTCTGTATTTTTTCAAATTTTGAGTTTAAAACACCGCTTTCATTGATATGTGACTATATAGAAGAAAGCAGATTGTCTGTCCCTCTTCTGCATCAACTTTTGATATGCTTAATTCTTCTAGAAAACTACCTGTCTGATTGCTTTGATACTTGATATATAGGAACCTCTATCAAATTTGCTGATGGGATGATTTCATTAATTCTCAATTTTTAGCAAACATTGTTGTTAAAAATAGAATATATTTTTTGACTTCTTCTTAAAAACTATGAGCCCTATTGCTTTTTAAAAATCATGAGTGGACCTATATTCAATTCATCTCAATATCATCGATTCTGTAGTGTATTTTTGGCAAATATTTCTACTTGAAAACTCAAACAGATAGTTGAGCATGGCATGTACTCTACAGTTATGTACAAACTAACACCTGCTTAAAAAGGGATGCATTTTTGCGACTTTTAGGTCATGCTTCATTTCCACGTTTGTTTGATGCAGACAAGTCTTACATAATAGTACAGCCCGTTCCCTCTTCCAAAAGGATTTTAGCAACACTATTTTAAACACGCTTTATACCAACATAGTGTGTACACCTGCTGTTTCATTATGTTGGTGTAAAGGACACGAAAAATTTAACATGGGCTAAGAGAACATCTTCATAACTTTATTAACCGAATGCTGCAGTAATAAAAAAAACAGTTTGCCAAAGTGCATACATTGTCATTTTAAAATTAGCATACAATTGATGAAAACAAAATTTCATATATAGATTCAGTCAAGTTGCATGTTGTCACTATAGTCTCTTGTTGTAGTTATACATCTATTATTCGTGAAATGCATCATTGCGTCTAATCCGCCACACCATGCTGTGTTCACGAGGCTACAGTTCAGTAATCAATTTCACAGTGAGACGCTTTCACTAACGAGAGTTTAACTTCATCTGACTTCTTCCCATACGCTTTAATTAAAAAGATTGGTAACTACATTGGTATTTGTTGGCACCATGCCAGGAACACTTGTAATTACTTGGAGTGAGACCTGTTGCTGTGGTACAGAATTACCATTATCGTAAGAATGACCTCCATTCTTCCAAAGTTTGCAATTGTTGTTTTGTGTGCTACCAATTGTTATAGATTGACAATGACCATGAGACGGCTCAATATTGAGGCATTTAGGTATGATAAATGGATGTGTTTGCTTTCAACTGCCAATGTTAACAGATGTAGAGATAAGCTGACTGACCGGCTGTCTCATATACCACCAACCCCTTTGGGATTTGTCCTACTTTTTGATGGACCATCATGTGATCTACATTTCTTGATGGTTATGGAGTTGCACAGGGATAGGCTATTACTTTCTATGTATCTGTATGTGTTAATACGGCCGTCATGTCATCCCGCTCTCAAAAATACCAATGTTTGCCGTCTAATCTTGTAATAGTGTAGTACGATAAGCTGCTATTCAGTTACAGCCGGTTACTGGATGTAACCGTGTTTACAGTAGCATATTTGCAAGACACCTGTTGTTCACTTGTATTTGGTTAATTCGGCCATCTTGGAACCACTTTGACACGTAGAGAAATCTACATCCTTATTGACCATGGGGGTGAGGGGAATTAATTGTGGGGGTTCACATTTTCACTTGTAGGTGTATTGGTAAGATCAGCTATTATTTTAAAATCTAATGATCAATATACTATTATAAATGATAGACAACACTGCTGAAATTGACAGAATACTATATAAGGCAATAATCACCATAGAAACGATAACAAGTTTTCATATGTGCATGTAGCATGTATAAAGTTGATATTGAATAAACATTTTAAACACGGATGAAAGATTAAGATCCTAGAAAGGCTGGGAAAGGGTTCATTTATTATTGTGTTCAATTTCATCGGGGTATGAATTACCTGGATCAGGTATTGGCAGTCATGCATGGAAACTATTTGAAATGAATTACCAATCTGTAATTGTACAATTGTTGGAAGTCAATAATTGAAACAGCTAGAACATATGTGACAAATAAAAATAAATAACATTTTGTTTGATGTATATTGTTGTCATGGTTTATTTAGGCGCATACCAATGTTTGTGTTGGTATTTCTCAAGTTACTACACGTCCCTGCTATGCAAGTAAATTGCACATGTAACTTCAGCCGTGAATTATTAAAGTCAATTGCAGTCAATAATTCAGTGTATTCATAATTTTAGTGGCTTATGTTTCTGAAGATCAGAATTTAAAATTGAAATTGTTGTTGAAAAATATGGTGGATTTTCGCTTCAAAGTTCTAAACCCAAATTGAGGGGGGGGGGGGGCAAGGGTTATTTTCATTCAACATAATTGCAATATTTTTTTGTTCGTTTTTGTTTGTTTTTTTGTAAACTGTGTCATTTTTCTTGGTACGTACAAGAATTTATATCCAAATAAAAAAAGTC